AGGGATCTTGAATCAAAGTGATATAGGGGGGTGTTTTATTTGGAGGAGGGGAGTTGGGGACCACCCACAAAATGTTGTTTGCTGGGGCTGCTCCCTGTGTACACTCTGAAGTGCTGGGGACAAAACTCAGGATTCTTGATTGCAAAGTATGTCCTCACTCCTTGGCCCTTGAATCAAAGTTTTCGGAATTTTCTAGTCCAAAGATTCCCAAACATATTTGACCTATCACCCTGTTTTCATGGAAAAAAATAAAAATAAACACTCAGTAATCCCCTGGACATTTAAGGGAGCAAACAGAAAGCACCACCCCAACTGCAGTGGCGGCTACTAGAGCCCCCTGAGATGGGGCCAGTGTGCTCCCTGAGGGGCCAGTATCACCCCACTTTGGCAAACAATGCTCTAGCCCCATCCCTCAAGGACTTCAGTTTATTTATTTTTATCTTTCTGTTTTTTGTTTTTGGGTCACGGCCGGCGACGCACAGGGGTTACTCCTGGCTCTGCACTCAGGAATTACTCCTGGCACTGCTCAGGGGGCCATATGAACACTGGGAATCGAACCTGGGTTGGCCGCGTGCAAGGCAAACGCCCTACCCGCTGTGCTATCACTCCAGCCCCAAGGACTTCAGTTTAAAATCTAAGATGCTGGATGGAATGATCAGACAGTGGGGAGGGCACTTGTCTTGCACGTGGCTGACCTGGATTCGATCCCCGGCACCCCAGATGCTTTCCTGAGACCTGCCAGGAGTGATCCCTGTGTGCAGAGCCAGGAATAAGCCCTGAGCACAGCCAGGTGTGGCCCCCAAAGAAACAAATCCAAGCTGTCACTTCAACCTTCTCACCTCCCTCTCTCGCCCACTCTCTGCACCCCACCTGCCTTCATCCACACAGCCCCAGCCGGAGCCATGAGCCAGGGGCCCTGCACAAGGGGCTCCATTTAGGGTCCTGGAGCAGCCTTGATGGAGAAACTATGGAAGAGCCCCAGCCCCCAACGCTGATCATAATCAACGACACCCACACACGGGGACACCCCCCAACATCCCGAGGCCCAGGGTGCAGCGGGCGACCCTCAGAGAGACCAGGTATCTGTGCACAGCCATGGGAACAAAGGGACCAGGAGCCTGGAGGTGGCGGGCAGAAGACAGGCCACTGCAGCCCACCACGGCTGCAGGCGGAGCTGGAGTGAACGAGGCTACTGGGTCACCTCTGTGCTGCTGGCCCCACATGTGGCATGGCGAGAGGCTGAACCACAGGCCAGAATGGGGTGGGGAGACACCGAGGCCGGAGCTCACAGTGTGGGAAGTGGGGGGTGGGGGGGACTGCAGATGACGAGCAAAATGTCTGCGACTTCCGGGACGGACTCACTACCATCCATTGATTTGGTGCTTTCAAGTGACTTCAAACCCCTGGCACTAATGAGCTGGCATCATCCAGAGAGCTAGGCCGGTGTAGGGAGCAACATGCTGCTTCCGGTCCCTTGCACATCCCTGAAAACGCTCCAATGGTTTCCTCCATCCTGGAACTGTCCACACTGACCCTTGAGGAGTGGGGTCGCGTGTCTGGGGCTGGCTGGTGGCCGTCAGTCCCGAGCAGAGAGAAGTCACAGGACAGAAACGCGGTTCCCCACTGCAGTTTCCCACCACCCTCTGCATCACAGACACAAAGCCTGGACCTGGTGGCCAGTAAGTCCCCACCGTGTCAGCCCCTCTGTGGGGCGCTGGGTCAGCCTCTCCCGCTGGGCTCTAGAAACCCAGAGTCCAAAAGCCAATGGCCTCTGCCCCAGTCCCCACGAAGAAAACACGAAGGGATGTGTGCCTTGAGGGGGTGGATCCTGAATCCACTGTTATTGTTATTGTTTGGGGGAGGCCACACCCCGCGGTGCTCAGGGCTGACTTCCGGCTCTGTGTTCACGGATCATTGCTGGTGAGGGCTCTGTAAACCAGGTGTGAACCAGGGATGGGAGCCAGGTCCGTTGCACACAAGGCCAGTGCCCTACCCACTGTCTTACTGTGCCAGCCCTTCCTGAGTCCACTGTTACCAGGCCCAGCTTTCCCTCCCAGCCTCGGTTTCATGACAACCATCAAAGAGCGTTGAGAGGCCTAGATGAGGCTAACAAGTCAGGGTCAGAACAGATGACTGGTTAAAGAAACTTTGGTACATCTACACAATGGAGTACTATGTAGCTGTTAGAAAAGATGAAGTCATGAAATTTACATACAAGTGGTATTACATGGAATGTATCATGCTAAGCGAAATGAGTCAGAGAGGGACAGACATAGAAAGATTGCATTCATCTGGGGAACATAAAGTAACAAAATGGGAGACTAACCCAAGAATAGCTGAGATAAGTACCAGGAGGTTCACTCCATGGCTTGGAGGCCAGCCGGGCATTCTAGGGGAAAGTGCAGCTCAGATAGAGAAGGGAGCACCAAATAAAGGGTGTTGGGAGGATCCTCCCAGGATGGGAGAAGCATGCTGAAAGTAGACTATAGACCGAACATGATTGCCACTCAGTGCCTCTTTTGCAAACCACAGCACCCAAAAGGAGAGCGAGAACAAAAGAGAATGCCCTGTCACAGAGGCAGAGTGGGATTGGGGGTTGGGGGGTGGGAAGGATACTGGGATCCATGGTGGTGAAGAATGGGCACTGGTGGAGGGATGGGTACTCGATCATTGCATAACTGAAACCCAAGCACAAAAACTTATAAGTCTACAACCATACCTCATGGTGTTTCACTAATAAAAATTAAAAAAAAAAAAAAAGAAGAAGTCAGGGCCAGGGCGGTAAAGAAAAACAAATGACTCAAATTATCAGGTGCTCAGGAACCATCAGCGCCTGAGACCAAGGCCAGGGTCCAGCTTCTCGACCGTCTACCAGGCCCTGTGCACGTCCTGGCCTCAGTTTGCCTGGGGCTCTGCCGGCTATCAAACCGGGGTGCTGAGGGCCAAGCCTCCAGTCCCCGAATGCTGGTGCTAGCCACCTTGCTCTCCACTGGCCCCACTGTCGGGCCCACGTGACCCAAAGCCTTCCTGAGGTTTCATTTTCAAAGGGCAAGGACCTTTGTATGAAACTGTTTTCTCGCTTATTTCCCATCTGCCTGATGAGAATGCCTGTGAGGACGAGAAACTGGCGAGTTGGTCTCTGTTGTGTACTTGGGGCTTGCAACAAACAGGGCGGGGACCATAACAGATCACTGAGTGAGTGGATGGGGAGGTGGAGAGTTGGAAGGAAGGGCGGGCAGGAAGGAGAAAAGAAAAAAGGAAGGGAAGAGGGGAAGGAAGAAAGGAAGGAGAAGAAACCTCAGTAGAAACCTCCCCGAGGGCCACTCAGTTCCCGGCCATGGGAACTCTCCTCTAGCTGACCCGATTTCTCAGGGTTGCCAGCACAGCCTCTGTGCCTCCAGTTTTCAGGGGGTCGTGGAGAGGGGCGTGGGGGGGCACAGGGATGGGCACAAAGGAAGGAGGACAGGGGACACTCAGTAATGAAGCTGATGAGAGGCTGCCCAGGTACCAATTCTGGGCGAGAGGCACCAGGCTGCCGGATCACCTCAGTGAGCCCCCGGGTTGCCTTTCCCACCTGCTTCTCTGGGGACACCCCCAAAGTGTGTCAGACCTCGGATCCATCCTGGGAGGAAGTGGCTCAGCATGACCCCGGAGAGGCAATAAATAGGAGACACGCCAAGGCCGCAGCGGCACCTCCCAGAGCAGACAATGGCGCGTGAGGCCAGGGCCTCATCAGTCAGGCCAGCGGCTGAAGCTCTGCCTCCCCACCCAGGTCAGCATCCCCCGCTCCCAGCCACACTCGCGAGCGGCAGTAAGGCGGGGATGGCACGGTTTGGCTGCCCCAGCCCGCAGGAGCTCCTGGTTCCTGGGGTCCCTCCTCCAGCCCTCCGTGTGGAGGGTGCCAGGGACCCGGATATGCCTGGAGCCTTGAACTGCGGCATGGCCAGAGTGAAATCTCATAGGGGCGTTTCCTTCCAGCAGGGGGACGGAAACAGTGCAGGCCGGATGCTGGGGCTCTCGGATCTCGGGGTGATGGGGGTCTTACTGGGATGCCCCTGGATGTGGAGGCTGGTGGGTCTCCATCAGGGAACTGTCAGATAGGAGGAGCAGTCAGACATTACCCAGACCTCCATTTTACAAAGTGGGAAACTGAGGGCTGACTCACACACGGTCCCTGAGCGAGCAGCAGACAGTGAGGCCCAGAATCCAGGACTCCAGCATGGAGCTGGGGCTGTTTCTTCCCAGCCTCTGCGGGATCCCTGCGTCTGCCAAGGCCCCGGGCATGACCCTGCCCTTGCAGGGCCCCTGAGCGCCACCCAGGCATTAGCTCCGTTTCCAAGTGGAGTGGCGGCCCCCCAGCCCCGCCATCACCCAAGGACTGACAGTACCAGGCCCTCGGGTCCAGCCCAGCCCACTGCTCCACCGGTGGAGCCCTGCTTCTCTGGTGGGGAGCTGAGAACGGGTACTCCAGACAGCTCCCGTAAGCATCACGTGAGAAGAAGATGCCTAACGGGTATTTTTGTAAACCGAGACCCCATCCCAACATCAGACCTGGGGCTGTGGTGTGAGGTTTGCAGGGACCACCTCGCAGGCACAACGGTATAGGGGTGGGGGGCTGCTGTTTGAGCAGAACTCTCACCCCTCACCCACCAGAGGCTGGGCCTGCCTGGCCATCCACGCACCTGACCCATCCTGGAGCCCACAGGGAGAGACCGAGAGGTGGCAGGTCAGACCAGCCCCCGTCTGCAGGTTTGAAGAACCTGTCTGCCTGTTCTGCTTTGTGTGTACATGCACGTGTGTGTGTGTGTGCGTGTGTGTGTGGCATCCTCTTAGGTCCTGATGCCTGGCTCTACCTGGCAGCCCAGGATGGCAGGAACTTGCCTGGCAGCCCGCGGCTTCGGGCCCATCACAGACCCCTCTAAGCAAGCCTACCCCTAGGGCCTGGCTCTGTGGGGAGAGCGGGGGACCTCTGGGGCGCCCCCTCCCGGCGGGGTGCTTACCTTGTACTTGGCCGCCAGCAGCTCGGTGGCCTGCTGCTCCCGCCGCAGGTCCTCCAGCATCTTCTCCTTCTCCTCCAGCAGCTTCTGCTTCTCCTCGCTCACCAGGTTGCGGTCGTCCTGGATGGCGGCCTTCTCCTCCTCCAGCCGCTCCTTCTGCTCCTGCAGGTAATTCTCCATGTTCTTATCCAGCGCCGACTCCAGGATGGGCTGGGGCGGGCGGTGGTTGTTGTTGTTGTCGTCCTCCTCCTCGGCCACCCAGGCCTCGATCACGGGCCCCTCGGGGTAGCCGGCGGGGGCCGAGGCCGCCTTCTTCCGGCGGCTGCTCTTCCGCCGCAGCCGCTTGCCCAACATCCCCCTCTTCTCCAGCTGGGCCTTCAGGCGCGCGATCTCCTCCTGGAACTCCCGCAGCAGCGTGTCCTTGGGGTCCTCGTTCACGCGGGGCTTGTTCTTGATGTTCTTGGCCCGGTTGGCGAAGCGCAGGGTGGACAGGCTCTCGTCGTAGCTGTGCGACGCGGGGCCCAGCGTGGCCACCATGATGGTCTTGGCGTTGCCCCCCAGCGAGTCCTGGAGCAGGCGGGTGAGCTTGGAGTCCCGGTAGGGGATGTGGGTGCTCCTGTTGCCGGCCAGGGCGGCGATCACGTTGCCCAGCGCCGACAGCGACAGGTTGATTTTGGAGGCCTCCTTGGGCCTCTCGCCGCTGCCCGTGGCCCCTCCGCCGCCACCCCCGCCGTTCCCCGACCCCGGGGTGGCCGTGCTCCCGGCGGCTGACCCCGAATTGGTGCCCGCCTTGTTCTGCCGCTCGCTGCCCGCCAGGTCCACCAGGTTGAGCTTGCCCACGCGGATGTGGTCCTGGCCGTCGGAGCCGCGCTCGCTGCACTCGACCGTGATGACGAAGATGGCATGCGAGCGGGAGCTGAGCTCGTTCATGTGCGTGCTGCCCACCGCGCGGGTCTGGTTGCCCAGGTTCATCACGTGCTCGATCTCCTTGACGTTCTTGGTGACGAAGGAGGAGAGGTCCTTGATGTAGACGCCCGTCTCGGGGTTCTCCTTCAGCTCCAGCCGCTTGCCGGGCTCCTTGGAGAGCAGGTCCCGGATCTCCTCCTGGTAGATCTCCAGGTAGGAGGCCCGCACCAGGTACTGCTGGTTCTGGGAGCGGGAGATGTGGGTGAAGATGTGCTCGAAGGCGTTGGGGATGACCCCGCGCAGCTCGGGCTCCACCCAGGTGCCCTGCATGGTGTAGGTCTTGCCCGTGCCCGTCTGGCCGTAGGCGAACACGGTGCCGTTGAAGCCCTGCAGCACCGAGTCGATGAGCGGCCGCACGGTTTCGTCGTACAGGTCGGCCTGCTTGGAGCTGGCGTCGTACACGGCGTCGAAGGTGAAGGTCTTGGGCAGCTCCCCGGGGGCCGCGCGGGGGTTGCGCAGGGTCACCTGGCCCAGCTTCACGTCCATGGTCAGGATCTGCTCGTGGCCCGCCGCCTCCTCCTTCCGACTGAGCGGGCGGCAGCGGGCCACCACCTTGAGGGCCTCGCTGGCCTTGGTCTTACTGGCCATCTCGCCGGGCGCCCTGTCCTGGGTGCGCGCGCGCGCTGCGGGGGTCCGGCCCGGCGCCCAGGCGCCGCTCGTCAGTCAGTGCGCAGGCAGGGATCCCGGGCGCGGGGATGCGGGGATGCGGGGCTCGGGGGGGCGGCCGGGGACCCCGCCGCGGCGGTCCCCGGGGCCTCCACCGCTCTGGGAGGGCGGATCAGGCGGCAGCGCCGGGCAGCCGCGCCGGCCGAGCGGCGGAGCCCGGAGCGCGCCCCATGCCGGGCGGGCGGGCGGCGGCGCGGCCGTCACCGGCGACGCCAACAATGAGATCAAAGGCAGAGGGAAGCGGGATGGGGGTGGGCGCGCGGCCGGCTCCGCTCCCCCTGCTCCCCCTGCTCCTCCTGCTCCTGCTCCTCCTCCTCCTCTAGGGATCCATGGGGCGGGCTGCGGGGGCGCGGCGGCCGGTGGGGGGGTCCCGGGCCTCCCGAGGGATGCGGCTCACCTGGCGTCCGCGCCCGGAGCGCGGGGGTCATTCATCGCTGCGTCCGCCGGCCGAGCCCGGGAGGAAAACAGAAGGGACGGGGCGGAGCGGCGGCGGGAGCGAGCGAGGTGCGCGGCGCGGCGCCCCGGCTAAGCCGCCCGGCCGGGGTGGGGCGAGGGGCGGGGCCGCGGGCCGTCGCGCGCCAGCCCCGCGCCGCCGGGTCGCGGGGGACCCCGGAGCATCGCCGGCCCGCTCGCGCGCAGGCCCCCTCGGCGGTGACGGGCGGCAGTGCGGACCCCCGCGGCCGGCGCCCACCGGGCGGGTGCAGCGTAGACACCGCCCGCCGCAGCCCCCGCCTCGCGGCGCCCCGAGCACGCTGGGAGTTGTAGTCCCGCCTTTGTTACCCGGGTGCGGGCAGGTTGCGGCTGCGGGTGTCCCCCCCCCATCACCACCACCACCACCCGCCAGTTCCCCCCAGCACCCACCCCGCCCCCACCCAGGACCCTCGCTGGCTCTCTCTGCCTGCCGGCTTGCCGGAGACCGCGCTGAGCCTGCAGCCCCGCCGGAGCAGACACCCGCCCCGCACCGGTCCCTGCGCAGCCTGCCGTCATCCTCCATCCCTCCATGGCTCCTGCCTTTCTGTCTGCAGAGGGCCACAAGTCCCTCTTCTCCAGGCCCCCTCCGAGCTGAGCTTGTCCTGACTGCCCTTTGCTTCTTCTCCCGACCTGGGTTTCTTCTAGCTTTTCTGTTCTCTTTCCCAGATCACCTTCCAGGGGACCCTCTCCTCAACTCTTCTTCCCAGCCCTCAGCCCTGGTCTCCCCTCTTTCCCCCCCACTGGACTTCCTACTGTATAAAATCCTCTGCTGGAGCGATTGGACAGCGATTAAGGTGCCTTGCAAGTAGAGTGACCCGAGTTCGATCCCCGGCCCCCCCCATGATCCCTGAAGCTGATGTAGTGACCCCGGAGGTAGTGACCCCAAAAAGAAACCATAAAATAAAAGCCTCCAATGGGCAGGTGAAATCCTGTCTGGCCTGCCAGACTCACCTGCAGTCACTGTGTGGTGGAGAATATGTTCCAGGCCGCTGGATCCTTGCAGTCTTCCAGAACATTCTAACCCCAGATCCCATTCCAGGAACTGCACTGCCAGACTTCAAGGAGCTCCCCTGACCCAGGAACCAGCTTTCCTTTTCTGGACTGGCTATGCGGTGCCACAGCTTTTGGGGTCCTGTGCCGGAAGGATCTTGACACTTTTCTGCATATGAGCTGCTTTCACTTGAGCGATGCAGACACCTCTGTTGTGCCCTTCCCACTTGGCAGCGAGAGACCCTGGATCTAGCGCCATCCGCCATCCAGCCGCAGACAGTGCTGACCCACAGGCCTTGCCCCGCCACGATTCCTCATCAGTTTCCTCATGTGTTTGTCTATTTTTTGAAATGGAAAGCACAGGCTGAGGGCATGTGGGCTCAATCCCCAGCACCCCATGACCTACCCCCAAATACCTCTGAGGGTACTGCCAAGCCCACTTGAACACTGGGGATGGTCCTGGTGGCCCCAGTAAGGCCAAGGGCTGGCCCAGTTGGCAGAGAGCAGCAGCATTGCAGGATGGGGCAAAAATAAGGAAATTTTTGTTTGCTTCTGAGCCACACTTGGCGGTGCTCAAGGCTTACTTCGAATTGAACCCAGGTCAATCACGAGCAAGGTAAGAGCCTAGCCCACTGTATTAGCTCTCGGACCCCAATGATAAACATTTTTTAGTTGCTAGAGCCAGGAAGCTCCATCTTTGGGAGTGGCTGTGACACTCAAACAGAACAATGACTCCTTGTTGCCTGAAGTACTGTACCCGGGAAGCTCTGTTAGAAGCTGCTTATGGATCACGTGGTCCTCGATGCGAAGAGCTGGACAGGCTAGCTCCATGCTGGCTGTTCTCTTTGGGGTCTTGATGCTGTGACCTCTAGACCAGTGTTCCTCAGCTTCTCCCCCACTCCCGTCGTGGCCCTCTCTGACCTTATTTCTCTCCTGTGCTCCCCTCACCTCCATTCTCCATTCTTGCCAGTTGGACCCCCAGTATATTTTTCTTTTTTTTTTTCCTTTTTGAGTCACACCCGGCGATGCTCAGGGGTTACTCCTGGCTCATGCACTCAGGAGTTACTCCTGGTGGTGCTCGGGGGACCATATGAGATGCTGGGAATCAAACCCAGTCTTGAGCACTTCTGTGATTTTCACTTGTGTCCCCCTCAGAATATCCTGGGGCTCCACGAGGGGCCCAGGCTGGGGTTGAAGTGATAGCACAGTGGGTAGGGCATTTGCCTTGCACACAGCCCACCCGGGTTCGATTCCCAGCATCCCATATAGTCCCCTGGGCACCACCAGGAGTAATTCCTGAGTTCAGAGCCAGGAGTAACCCCTGTGCATCACTGGGTATGACCCGAAAAGGAAAAAAAAAAGCTAAAACGAGGGGCCCAGGCTGAGAGTCACTACTCTGGGATGCAATTCAAATGTGACCCCCAGTGTCTGGATGTCTCATGCCCACCACGTCCCACTCTGCAGCAGCGTTGGTGCTGGCCCTTCCCTCCACAGCCATCAGGAAGGTGGAAACGCTTCCTGATTGCAGCTTCCTCGAGGCTGCAGAGGACGTTCCACTCTGTCATGTCGGAATCTTTTCCTTCTTCCAATTCCCACCACCTGTCTCCTCACTCTTCCAGTCTCCACAGCCCCAGGACCCAGGTGCCCGCCAGCTGGAAGCTGCAGGCTTAGCCAGTGGCATGGCTGCCTCTGAATGTTCCTGGCCTGCCTCGGCCCTCTCTTGGATCGAGCTGGCCATCAGCTTGGCTTTCAGAGCCTCACTGGCTGGGGTTTTGGCTCTGAAGACCAACCTCCTGGGCTCACCGCGCTGACTTCTGGGCGGGCCCTTTGGCTCTCCCTCTGTTTCCTTGTTGCACTTGGCTTTGGTTTTTAGCAGAGGGTGGAAAGGGTGTTTTACCCGATCTCTTTTTCAGACCGTCCCCCAAATCAAACGGTGCTGGCTGGGGGGGGGGAATCCCAGCCCTGTTCTCCCCAACTGAAGTCACCGCCTGGTAAGGGGACGTGACCCAACTCTCTCAGACAGGGGATGGGAGGTCTGAAACGCCTCTGTTTCCAAGATCTGTGCCCCTGAGAAACGTTTTCACTTCTGGACATAGGGGAGAATGCTTGCCTTGTCCAGATTGTGACTGTGTGGGGACACAGCAAGGAGATGTATGGAAACTGCCAGAACAGGTAGGCATTCAAAAAATGATAATGGGGGGGGGGGGCAGAGCGGGTAGGATGTTTGCCTTGCATACAACTGACCCAGGTTCAATTCTTGGAATCCCAAGTGGTTCCCAGAGCACCACCAGGAGTAACTTCTGAGTGCAGAGCCAGGAGTAGTCCCTGAACATCACTGGGTATGACCCAAAAAGTAGCACTGTAGCACTGTCCTCCCATTGTTCATCGATTTGCTTAAGCGGGCCCAGTAACATCTCCATTGTGAGACTTGTTGTTACTGCGTTTGGCATATCGAATACATCACAGGTCCCTTGCCAGGCTTTGCCATGCGGGCGAGATACTCTCGGTAGCTTGCAGGACTCTCTGAGAGGGGTGGAGGAATTGAACTCAGGTCAGCCAGGTCAGCCTCATGCAAGGCAAACGCCCTACCCTCTGTGCTATTGCTCCAGCCCAACAATCTCACAACCCAAAAAGTAAAGAGAGAGAGAGAGAGAGAGAGAGAGAGAGAGAGAGAGAGAGAGAGATGCTATTTTGGGGCTGCAGAGATAGTACAGCGGGTAAGGCATTTGCCTTGCATATAGTCAACCCAGATTTGATCTCCACAACCTCATATGATCCCCAGCACTCAAAGGAATGACCCCTGAGCACAGACAGAGCCAGGAGTAAGCCCTGAGCACAACTGGGTGTTGCCACAAAACCAAATCAAAACAAAACACTACTTTTGGGCTGGCTATGTGGCTCAGTGGTACAGCACTTGCCTTGCACATATAAGGCCCTGGGTTTGGTCCCCAGCACTACCTGGTCCCCCTAGCACTGCTGAGGAGCACCAAGCCAGACGTAGCCCCCTTGCACCCCAGAATCACCAGGTGTGTCTCAAAAACCAAAAAAGGAAAGATAGTAAAGCAATGGTAACTCATCCAGGCCTGGGTTTGTGCACCAGCGCTGCCCGTGGCTCTCTGAGCACTGCCAGGAGGAACCCCAGAGCACCAAGTAGTGAATCCCATCAGGTGTGACCCACGGTCATGGTCACGATCCTCCCGTTATTCATCAGTTTGCTCGAGCGGGCCCAGTAACATCTCCATCATGAGACTTGTTACTGTGTTTGGCATATTGAGTATGTCACAGGTAGCTTGCCAGGCTTTGCTGTGCGGGCGAGATACTCTCGGTAGCTTGTTGGGCTCTCCGAAAGGGGGGAGAATCGAACCCGGCTCAGCCGGGCCGGCTGCATGCAAGGCAAACGCCCCACCGCTGTGCTATCGCTCCAGCCCAGATGTGACCCAAAAACCAAAAATAAAGAAATCTTCTTTCCTTCCCTCTGTCCTTGACCTACAAGCTTCACATGCTCTGTCCTCGTTCCTGCAACCTGTCCAGATGCC